GAAAGGGGGGAGGCAGCCGGCCTGTGCTGTGGCTCGTCTTGCTCTCGCGCGTGTCTTAATTCCGCAGTCAGGCGCTATAGCTGTAATCTGAATGGTAATGGTGAATGAAATGAGCGCGCGCGCGCGCCTTCTCGCAATAACGACTCCATTGAATGCACGAATTGCGTGCTTTTTTGGCGCGGTGCGGTGCGGTGCGGTGGAGCGAGCGGAGCGCACGGACATTCTTACACACACACACAGCACACACACACGCCCTCTGCTCACGACTCGAGACTCGATATACAGTACATACGACTGACACTCACTCACTCACTCACACTGCCCAAGTGCCTGCTGTAGTGGTGCTGCAGATCTTGGTGTAGAACTTCTCTGATGCCCCCTCCTCAACGTGCCCTCGCGCGGGTGCGGTGGTATAGCGAGTGCAATCAAGATCGTGTGAGCGAGCGAGTCGATCGATGAACATCCTCCTGCCCGCCCGCCCGCTCTCCACTCCAACCTCCTCGCCCTCTTCCATCACCCCGCGCCTTCCCCAGTCCCACGCATATACCGTAACTCATCCAACCCCTCACCATTCGCAAACATGGCGTCTCACTTTGACACTCTTCGTGAGTATAGAGTGTCGCATAGCAAGCCATTGCTCACCGCGTACCCGCGTGCGTGGGCAATCTCCCTCTCTAACAAAAACACCCCTCCTTCTTCCCACGCGTCGCGCACACACGCCATTCTTCAGAGCTCCACGCTGGTAAGTAAGACAGACGCATACACGCCCGCCCCCCCTCATTGCTCATCTTCACTTTGCTCACACTCCAACGTTAGGTCAGGAGCCCGATCCTGCATCCAACGCCCGTGCTGTGCCCATTGTTGCTTCTACGTGAGTAATGTCGTGCGGAATTTGATAGATACGCCGCGCACAGCTCTCGGTGCTGCAGAGTGTGGCGCGAAATTGTGGGCAAGTGTTTCCCCCCCTTGCACTCCAAACTCACGCCAACACCCTCACCTCCAATCTCAGCTCGTTTGTGTTCAACAACTCTGAGCATGGAGCCAACTTGTTCGGTCTGCGCGAGTTTGGAAACATGTGAGTGGCACCCCGTCATGAGCGCTAGGAAAATCTTTGGGCTCCTCAGACTTTTTGCTTGTTGCGCGGTCGTCAACTGCCAGCTACTCGCGTCTTATGAACCCGACCACTGTGAGTGTGTGATGGTGACAAGTCGTAGACGCGACATGCGCTCACGCCGATCGGCACCTCTTCAGGATGTGTTTGAGAAGCGCATTGCAGCGCTCGAGGGCGGTGCTGCTGCTCTTGCCACCTCGTCCGGTCAAAGTGCTCAGGCCATGGCCGTGCTCGCTTTGGCCCAGGCGGGGGACAATATCGTCTCCACGTCTTACCTGTATGGAGGAACGTACAACCAGTTCAAGGTCCTCTTTCCTCGCATGGGCATCACGACCAAGTTTGTCAAGGGAGACAGCCCAGACGATATTGCCAAGGCGATCGACTCCAAGACAAAGGCGGTGTACATCGAGTCGATTGGTAACCCGCGCTACAATGTGCCGGATTTGGAGGCCATCGCCAAGATTGCCCACGATCACGGCATTCCCCTCGTCGTGGACAATACGTTTGGTGCGGGTGGATACCTCATCCGTCCCATCGACCACGGAGCAGACATTGTCGTGCACTCTGCCACAAAGTGGATCGGCGGTCACGGAACGACGATTGCTGGAGTGGTCGTCGACTCTGGCAAGTTCGATTGGAAAAAGTCTGGACGTTTTCCACAATTCACCGAGCCTTCGGAGGGTTATCACGGTTTGAAGTTTTGGGACACGTTTGGAGCGGTCACGTTTGCCATTTTCCTTCGCGTAGTGATTCTGCGCGACTTGGGACCTAGCATCAACCCTTTTGGCTCCTTTTTGCTCCTGCAAGGTCTCGAGACGCTCAGCTTGCGTATTCAGCGTCAGGCCGACAATGCCCTCGCCATTGCTCAATGGCTCGAGAAGCACCCCAAGGTCGCTTGGGTCTCCTACCCCGGTCTCACCTCTCATCCGAGTCACCAGCTGGCCAAAAAGTACCTGGTGAGTTGCGTGCGCGCGCGCGCGCGCGAGAGAATTCTTGAAAAGAGCGCTCTTGAGAGAGCTGATGCCCACACGAACGGACGTTTTTCCCTTCTTTGCCAGCCGCGCGGTTTCGGAGGTGTGTTGTCTTTTGGTGTCAAGGGCGACGACAAGTCCGGCGCGACGTTTGTGGACAATCTCAAGCTTGCCAGGTGAGCCCTCGCGCGCGTTGCGGGAGTGCTTTTTGCGAGAGCGCGCGTCCCCTGGGCGCTTACACTGCCTATGCTTCGCTATCTCCTAGTCACTTGGCAAATGTGGGAGATGCAAAGACGCTCGTCATTGCTCCTGCTGCCACGACTCACCAGCAGCTGACTGACCAGGAACAGCTGGACTCTGGTGTGACCAAGGATCTGATCAGGTGAGGGTGCGAGGCGCAGCGGAAATCGTCATCTCGAGTCGAGTCGCACATCTTGCCGCTGACACTTGCTTGCTACGGAAAATCATCAGACTGAGCGTCGGATATGAGTTCATCGACGATATCAAGGCTGATTTGGAGCTTGGCTTCAAGGCTCTTGCTTAAACATTGGCGGAAGCACGCTGCTGCTGCTGCTTGTCGGCGCTCGCACGCGCGCGTTTGCGCCTGATCTAGCCTTGCACGGGCTCGCCGCTTGAGAGTATGGGGATGGGGAATGATGTCCCAGTAGAGGTTTTGCCTTTGAAGAATAAAATGTATCGCGCGCGGACGTGCGTCGTCAGATCTTTTTCAGCTGCTGCTGCTGCTGCTGCTGTTGCTGTTGCTTGTCTGTGAGACGCGCGAATCTTTCTCCTCTGCATGAGGGGCCATGCTCGTCGAGTTGCAGCTCGTAGCTCGTAAGAATGAGCGCGCGAGAGCGAAGGGGGAAACGAAAGGAAACGCTTTGTTTTTTGGCCTTGGGCCTTGGGGCTTGGGGCTTGTACAGGTGCGGGCGGTAGGAGCTCTGATTGCCTTTTGATTGAGAAGTTGGAACTTTTACGCGTGACTGTAATCACGAATATTGCGGGCGGTGCGGCGGGGGGGAGATGTCTGGAGTGAGGGAGTGGTAGGGGGCCTGTCCTGTTTTTGTCGTACGAGAGAGGTGGTGTGGTTGGCTGAATGCGCTGCGCTGCGCGTATTTGTAGGCGCTTACGCGGGACCGAGGTAGGCGTGCGTGAGTGCGTGCGTGCGCTAGCGTGTGTCGACGTGGATGGATGTGAGATGGCGGTGCGGTGCGGTGCGCAGGTCGATGCCCTTTTTCTTTCTGGACTACGAGTTACGAGTAGGAAGTTTTGCGGGGTTAGTCACGAGGCACCCACCGACTTTTGCTTGGAACTTGATACTGAACAGGCACGCATTGCGCAGTAGCGGTCGAGAGTAGAGAGGCAGGACGCCATTGCTTGCGTGCGAGGTTCCATCTACTTGCGACTTGATACGGCGAACAGCGAACATTGAACAGCGAACATCGAACAGCGAACATCGCACGAGGGCAAAAGAAAGTCGGAGTCGATAACAACATACGCGCTATCTCCTCCCCCCCGCCTCTTCGTTTGCTCTTCCCTTTTTGCGCTCTGCTGTTGCAGCTGGACTTTACTAGGCAAAGAAAGGGGCGCGGAGGGCGCATACACAAGCGCCGTATTCCCCCTTCAGCAAGACGAGCACGAGCACGAGCACGAGCACGAGCACGAGATTCCTTCTTCCTCGACTCGGCCAGCAACACCACGAGCACGTCGAAAGGCAGCAACAGCAGCAGCAGCAGCAGCAGCTTGGCGCAAGGAAAGGAAAGGAAAGGATGTTGTCCTCGCTGCGCAACCTATCCATGCGAGCCTACCTGCTGCAAGCGCTCAACTTTCTGACGGTCATCTCGACGGCGCTAGCGCTGTGGAAAGGCCTTTCGGTATGGTGCGATACGGAGAGTCCAGTGGTGGTGGTGTTGTCGGGAAGTATGGAGCCGGCATTTTATCGCGGAGATTTATTGTTCTTGAGCATGCCGGATGCCAAGAGAAAGTTCAAGGTGGGTGATATTACGGTTTATAAAGTGCCGGGAGCGGATATCCCAATTGTTCATAGGGTGCTTGAGACGCACGAGTGAGTGTCCCGCGCGATGCGGCGTGGCGCTCGACGAGACTCGTGCACTGTTGACATATCCTTTACCTCCCCCTCCACAATTCAACGACAGCTTGCCAGAGGAGGAGGATCAACTGCTGTTGACAAAGGGAGACAACAACTCGGCGGACGATTTGGTGCTGTACAATGGCACGAGACATTTGAGGAGGAGCAATGTGGTTGGAAAAGTCAAGGGATATATGCCTTATGTTGGGTGAGTAGGTGTCGCGAGTCTGGCTGGTGTGTGGTTTGTGGAAGCTGGCAGGCAGGCAGGCAGGCGGGTGAGAAGGCAAGAGCTGCATTGGCAAACATCTTGCCACAGTCGCACAGACGCCCACCCGTAGCAAACAGCGCACGCTCGCTCGCATAGCTTGAATGCGACACGCGACACGCGACATGCGACACGCAAGCTTCATCTCGCCCTCCCCCACCATGCTCACACTCGTTTGCCCCCCGACTCTCAAACAGGTACGTGACGATTGCGCTCAACGATTATCCGAAGCTCAAGTACTTGTTGTTGGGAGGCTTGGGCCTATCTTTGCTCTTGCAGAGGGAGTAAGAGGAGGAGGAGGATGGGTGCAAGAATCGTCTTTGTGCGCGCACACACACACACACACTCTGCAAGACAGCTAGACGAGATGGGGGGCGCGATGCGATGCAATCTTGGATGCGTGGGAGAGATGCCCATGCTGCGAGTTGGGATAAAGTCACGGTCGCGATCGAGTCACGAGTGTGGCCCCCGAAATGAAGATTTTGAAATCGAATCAAATGTGATTTTCTTGAGCAGCGACCCGAGCAATTTGAATTTGAATTCGTGATGGAGCAGCGAGACGAGCATTTTGATTGAATTCGTGATTCGTGATTCTGCAGCGGGCGCGCGTGTGTATGAAGCGAGCGAGCGAGCGCGCGCCACCACCACACCACACCACACCACACCCCCACCTCCTTCATCCCCCGACACGCATTGCAAGAAAAGGAAGATCAGCAGGGAAGAAGATGGTGCAAGTGACGACGGTCTACCCAACCGCATACTTTACACCTGCCGAAGTGACATTTCTGTCCTGCGTATCCAGCGATCAGAGAAATCTCTCCGTCGCTTCTGGTTTCGGTGCCGGTGCTGCCGTCTCCTCGTCGTCGTCGTCGTCGTGGCAGCCGCAAGCGCACAGTTTGGATGTAAAGACGACGCAATCCATCCAACATCTGCTCGCGCTCGTACAATCCCTCGGCGCAGCTTTGCGCTTCCCGCAAAGAACTTGCAGTACGGCGCAAGCGGTGCTGCTGCGTTTGCTTTTGCATCATGGAGCCAATGCGAAGCGCATGGCTGGCTTGCTGCTAGGCGGCGGGCAAGGAGTAGCGCAAGAGGGACAACAGCAGAGAGAAGCTTTGGCTTGCGCTTGCATCGCTTTGGCGGGCAAGCTGAACGATACGAATAGAAAGATGAGGGATGTGCTTTTGGGAAGTTATAAGCTCAGGTTTCCGGATCTGGTCAGGAGGGGAAGAGTGGTGGGTGCGGGTGCGGGTGCGGGTGCGGGTGCGGGTGGACGCGCCTCGAATGGGACAATGTTCAGGCTTGGGAATGTGGCAGAGGCGGACATTGACTCCAACGTGAGTGTGGGTGTGTGTGTGTGCGCGCGCAAAGACCCCCTCATCTCATCTCGTTCTACTTGGGACGGAGCAGGCGCTGGAGATGGAGAGGAGGAGATTGTTGGGTTTGGAACGCATGCTGTTGGAAAGCGTGGGATTCGAATTCGGAGCTTCGAACAGGGTTCAGAGGACTTTGAGATATCTGATCAAGATGATGCGCAAGTTGGGCCTGGGCGTGGGCGTGGGTGGGCAGAGTGCGAGCGGGTCAGATGGTGGAGCAGCAGCAGCAGCAGCGAAAGAAGCGAGGGATCAAGCGTCGCACTGGCAACAAGAACAAGCATCGCAGCATTTCGACTTTGAATCGACGGCTTGGCAAGTGTTGACGGATCTGTTTAGGACTTGGCATTGCTTGCAGTACACGCCCATCACGCTGGCCATCACTGCCATCTATGCCACCGCCTTGCTGTGGCAGGACAGTGTGGTGGCTGTAGGTGTGCAAGCGAGCAACGGCAGGGGCGACAACGACGACGACGACGACGACGCTGTGACGGAGGGGCAGGAGCAGCAGGAGGCGCGAGGACAAAGGTTTACCAGCAGACTTGTGGATGCGAAAGAGTGCGGATGCGCTCTTGTGCGCAGGATCAGGAGAGTGGTGGAAGGATTGGAAGGGCAAGAAGAGCAAGAGCAGGAGCAGGAGCAGGAGCAGGAGCATTGCGAAGAGTTGCGCCGCATGATCAGAGATCAGCTCAAGGTTCACATCGAAGATGTTCACGGTGAGTAGGCTTGAACGCAGTGCCATGTACCATGTACGCCATCGAACGCGCGCACGTATAATGATGTCACCCAAATCCCCTTTTTGATTGCGCCTTTGCTCTTGAAAAGAGGTGCTGCATGGTCTATTGGACATGTACAGCTCCTCCATCTCTGCTCTGACCACCAGCACGCCCTATACTACCCCAGCCACGCCCGCCACGCCCGCCTCTCCCTCCGACCAACTCGCTCACCTTTCCGGCAATGCCAACGCTTCGTCCATCACTACTCATAGAGCAGGCCGACCAACTGCGCGCCCTCAAGCTAACAAATCCTTTCAGACGGCGACGGCGGCGCAGCAAGTGGAGAGCGAGAATCATTGGTTCAGGCTAGCTAGGGAAGCTCAGGCGGACGTGCTTGGACATGGACAAGTCGAGAGGAGAAATGCAAGTGGGAGCAGCGGAGGAAAAGAGGCAAAGAACAAGGCTAGGAGTCTACCCAAGGAAGCCGTCGCTCCTCCTCCATTGGGCTTACTGGCGCTCTTCGAAAAGGAGCAGAGCGCACTTTTTGTTGCGACTGGTACGAGCGGAGCGCGAGCGCGTGGACATGGGACGAACATGCAAGCGGTCAGAGGCAATCGGACCGCTGCTGGTCCGGCTACAAGCGCTACAAGGGGCGCAACTTCCGTCAGCGAATTGTTGAGTTGCATCATGGAGCTCAAGATTGCGCTTAGGGAACGCGAAGATGAACGTTTGAAGAGGGACTTGAGATTGTTGGGGTTGCTGGGAGGTCCGCTCGAAGAGAAGAAAGAGGATCACGGCGCCTCGTCGGGTCGACTAATCGACGTTCAGATGGATCGCGCCGGGCACGAGAGTCAAAGGACGAAGAAACGATGCAGGAGTAGAGGCGGAGCTGCAGTCGGAGTCGGAGAAGCGGCTTCTTCATCGCGCGCGTGGGAGGAAGAGGAAGAAGGTGCAGCATTGTCGCTTCGAGCAGCTAAGAGGAGAAGAGAAAAATCGAGCTTGTGCTTGACCATGAGAGCTTTTGAAGGGTGCAACGTGAGGGCTGAAGAGGCTCCAAAGGGGCTCAAACATGCCGCTGGACTTGATGGGCACGATGGCGCGACGGCGGCCACAAAGCGAGAAGATGCATCGCGCTCAAGCAATCAGAAAGACGTCGAGTTTTCTGCCGGTCAGACTACTCAGTTACCTTTGGGCTCCGACGCGAGCGCAAACAATGTCCAGAATGCCCAAACTTTATCATTGGCGGCAATTCGGCAAGCAAATGCGGATGCGGATGCGGATGCGGATACGAGTGTTCAGCAGCCGGCGCTCGCGCCTCCGCAGCAACAAGAACAGGATAAGAGAAACCTCGTCACGCTCACGCGCTTCTTGTTCTGATCGATCCTCCTTCACCCACCTGCGACTCCGATGCCTTCCACTGAGCGCATCTTCAAACGCGCGGGCTCAAAAGGAATGCTTTTGTGCGCATTGTAATGATTACCGAGTCGACCATTCACCATTCCTCCATCGCAATCCATCCATGCGCTGCAACGCTCCGTAATACTCTGATTGATTTGGGGGCAGGGGGGGTCCAAAATAGCAGATGCCTCTTCGATTCTGAGCTCACATCATGTATAGCGCTTCAAGACCACCCCCGCGTTTGTGCACGCTGGCTCAGCAATCGCGCGATCGCAAAATCGTCACTTGAGATTTGCGCACGCGGGGCGGGGCGGGGCCGTTGTCAGTTCAAGCCGCATGCGATTCGCAACGCTCCGTGTAAGTTCGAAAGCCGGCGGGGGAAAAGTGCAGCGAGAGCCCAAAAAAAAAAAAGGCGACTTGAGGAACGCTCGTTGGACGGGACGTAGGTTTGCAGAGAGCGAGAGCGCCAAAAAAGGGCGACTTGATCAGAATCCCTCCTTGCTATTGTTCCGAATGCGCGCGATCTAAAGCCTGCCAACGGCACGCCAGGGTGGATCTACATGATTGTCAAATGCGATTGAATTGCATTGCGACCAATGCGAAGGAGCGACAAGACGGGGCACCTTGTGCGGGTAAACACGCAAGTTGAACTTTTCACCCCCTCTCTTTCCTTCCTGAAACAACCCCACCCCACCCATCTTGCTCCCTCTTCTCTTCTCTTGTCCTACTTTGGCGCTTCCACTCCCACATTTGCAATACCCCAACGTCTGCGGGAGGGAAAAGCCGATCGTCGGGGCAAACAGCGATCGTCGGATCAGCATCGCGCTGCTCGTGTCGCCTGGCATTTGCGCCACACTCACCCAACAATCTGCATAGCCCTGCTATCGCCCTTTGCAATCTCATCCTCCTTCAAAAGATCCGCCAACGCCTCCCAAGGATCCCTGCCCCCGCCCCACTTGAGCACCTTTTCCCTAAACTCTTCTCCCGCTCTTCGATCCAGCGGATCTTTGGCAAAGATTTCCTGCCAGACTTTGGAAGCGATGGCGCGGTCGAATAGGTAAGAGTAGTAGGTGCTGGCATAACCTACCAAATGTCCGAAATGCGCCTGAGAGTGTACGCTGCTGGGACTTGGAGTGAGCAGAGATTGACGTGCGTGCAGATCAGCCAGCGTTTGATCGGATGAAAAGCTGGATGAGAGGACGTTGGAAGTGTGATAAGCTTGATCTAGCTGAGCTAGCAAGATCTGTTGATGCGTATCGATAGCTTCTAGCGAACGCGAAGCCTCGACGTGTTTGCGTAGCGTCGAGTAGGCCAAAGAAGAACCGGTAGAGTGATGCCGGGCGATCAAGGAGGTGACGCTTGGACAAGAGATGAAGTGCTCCATGAGGATGGATGGCAATTCCACAAAATCCGTAGCGCATCGTGTGCCCGAAACTTGATGATACTCTGTCCTTCCCAACATGGCTAAGTGCGTGACGAGGGCGCCGCGAAGAAGACTGTTTGTTTTAGTCTGTGCAATCTTGGCTTTCCCGCGCCTACGCGACTCACAATGAACAGCATGGCCCATCTCGTGAAAGAGCGTCTCCACCTCGTTCCAGCTCAACAACGTCGGTCCTTGTCCCACGGTAGGTCTGACAAAGTCGCAAATAAGCACAACGACGGGCAGTTGATATTTTCCCTCTTTCCCAGCCACGCTAAAAGATTCCTCTTCGAGCGGTTGGCAAGCTTTTTGCATCTCTTGCTTTTCCCGCAAAGAGAGCTCGTCGATGGGTGCGCCAGGTAGACCGTAAGCTAGATCGCCAGTCAGATCATCCACGTCTGTTCGACGGGAGCATCGGACAGTGTAATGCGCAGCTCCTCCAGCTTTGCCTTGTCTAGAGAACAGATCGGCATAAATGACGCCCACCAATTCTTCCGACTCATTCATCACTTCGATCCTCTTTACCCCCTCTTCCCACACCTCTCCATCATCCGTCTGCACCACGCGAAATCTCAAGCCGTACAGCTTTTGCAAAAGTTTCGAAAGACCCGAAAAGAGCGTTCCTACGCTGTAAAAGGGAGAGATGGGAGTGGTGGAGGATTGCAGGGAGATGGATCGAAGGTATTGCTGCGAGTAGTAATCCCTGTCCCACGCTGCTATATCTCCTGACGAAGCGTCCTGTTGTTGCTGTTTGAGTTGCAACAGCTCTGCAAGCTTGGCCCGAGTCTTGAATCTGTTTTCCGCATCGAGCGCAGCCAAGAATTCGTCGACATGTTCTGCATGCATGCGATGCGATGCGATGCGAATGAAGGCGGATACATCAAGTCCAATGCCATTGGCGCACGCGCACGCGCACTCTACTCACCAGGATTCTTGGCCATCTTGTCTCCCAGAGTGAGCTCTGCAAAGCTTTCGAAACCAGTGACGTTTGCCAACTGCGCTCTTTTGCGCAGCATCTCTTCCAACACCTCAACCTGCCTCTGGCTAGCCCCGTGCATAGCTTCGTAAGCTGCCCTTCTAGCCCTCTGGTCCGGTGCGTATTTGAGCAGCAATTGAGCTTGCCAACTTGCCACCGGTACAAACATGCCTTGACCCTTGTCGCTGCTGCTGCTGCTGCTGCCGCCGCCGCCGCCGCCGCCGCCGCTGTCGGCTTGTCGGAGAGCTGCTTTGACACCCGCAGGCAGACCGCTCAGATGCTCCTCCGGTACGAACCTGGCCAAAGCTCTCTCTTCCGCCTCATCCAACGTTGGACTCAAAAATTGTCGACCAAGCCTGACCAGATCGCTAGAGAGGTCGACAAACTTTTTGCGCGAAGCTTCTTGCAGATGTATGCCCGACTTTTCGAAATCCTTCTGAAAAGCTTGAGCCACGCTGAGCGCTTCTGGCGATAGAGAGGCGCGAAGGCTTGCATTGGCTAGCACTAGAGAGACTGCCTGTTGTGCGGGTGGCGGGTGGCGGGTGAGCCGGTAATGCATCTCTATTGACACGCCTTCCCTCCCGCACACACACACACACACACAACTCACATCGTAGAGCGGTCTGCTAGTGTTGAGTACGTTCATGTAGTGGCACAGTTGCTCGTAGGCATCGTTTGCGCTCTCGGCCCACTGCGCATCCGGATGAACATTTCGGATGAGTTCGCAAGCATCGATGACTCTGCAAAGCGTATCGCTAAGTCTATCCAACAACCTGACCACTCCTTTTAACTCTTGCGCGTCATTTCGTACAGAGGCAAGACTGATGCGTTGCACGAGCAGTTGAGATCGAGCAATCGTGCGTTCCACCAGAGAGGGTAGGGCTGAAGGAGAGGAAAAGGAAGGAAGACGAAACAGACCGCTTGGAGGTCGCGTGTGGGAAGCAGTGGCACCGGTGCTGGATGCCAATGAAGAATCTGTAGGCGCATCCAACACCGCTTTCAACTCTTCGTCGTCCCTCTCGTACGTCGAAGTGGCGTGCGTGTGAGGGTGCGTGTGCGCATTCGCTCCTGTCGCATGCAATTGCGACTGTGATTGCGAGGCGCTCCTGCTCCTGCTCGTGCTCGTGCTCGTGCTAGCGCTCCTGCTCATCCAGGCCCACCTTGCTGGTCCATGCGAGCCAGTTCGGACACTTGCGAGACCTGCAAGTGAGGGCGCCCCAATCCCACAAGGTCCTCGTCGTCGAGCAGCATCGCAGTAGGGTCTGCTACTCGCGCTCGCAACACCGCAGCAGCCTCTCGTTGCCATTCTAGCAGCACCAACACCACCACCACCCTTTGTAACAACGCCAGTCGCGCTCTTGAACATTCTTACTCAGATGCTCCTTTTGTCCCTTTTCTCCCGCCCCCTTTCCTCCCGCTTCGCTCCTTCTCGGTCGCACCCTGTACGAGCACGAGCGGCCCCTCGTTTCAAGCTCCCCTTTCGCTTCGCGTGGTGGAACGGCAAGAGGGCGCGTAATGCGAGCAGAGGAATAAAGTCAACTACTTCAAAATTGCTGGTCTGAGCTTGAAGAGTTGAAAGTGGGCGATGTCGACCGGTCCCCCCTACGTGTAGAGCTCCATCGGTCGCGATGCGATGACCACGGCTGGGTGGGGACCGGGGGTCACATCTTGCAAACCGCCGTGCCGTGCAGACACGCAGTCACGTGATGTGCTTCTTCGTACAGAAACACGCCTGCATGGGCCCTCGAGGGTTCACATTCACGATTGCCGCTCACCGCGTCACACTTGCAAAAGATCATGAAACATGTATATCGCATTCCGGACGTAAATCAAGAGGGGAGCGAAGAGTAACACGGCACAACAAGACACGACACGACGGATCGTCTTTATATATGAAAGAAGCAGAATGCGCACGCGCGTCCGAGGAGCCTCCTTTTTCCCACCACCAAGGGGTTTTCTTTTTTTTTTAAGCTTGGGCAGAGGTCAACTTCTGATTACCGCTAGCAACGCCCTTGAGGTACTTTTGAAAGTCTCTCTTGGCGATACCTCCGGCCCAAGGCAGTCTAGTCTGACCTTCGAGCTCCTTGTCTAGCGCAGCCGCGCAAGCCCTGCCTTCCTGGATGCCCCAAACGATGAGCGATTGGCCTCTCCTAGCATCTCCGCATGCCCACACACCCTCCACGTTGGTCTTGTACGGCAATTTGCCCTTCTGATCGTCCGCCTTGATGTTCGAACGTCCATCCACATCCACATTCAGCGCTTCGAAAGCCTTCTTTTCAGGCGACAGGAAACCCAACGCGAGCAGCACCAATTGGCACTCGATCCTCTGCTCCGTACCCTCCACCTTGTTCATGGCCCACTTGCCAGCCTTGTCCTTGCTCCAAGCCACTTCTTGCGTGTGCAGCGCAACCAGGTTGCCCTCTTCGTCCTTTTCAAAACGAGTAGTGGTGGTGCTGAATCTACGAGGATCGGCGTGCCACTGGTCCATCACCTCCGTGTGACCGTAATCCGTACGGTGGATGCGTGGCCACATGGGCCAAGGGCAAGAGCTGTCACGCTCGTCGGGTGGACGAGGCAGCAGCTCCAAGTTGATGACGGACTTGGCACCGTGACGAACAGAAGTTCCGATGCAGTCGTTGCCCGTATCTCCTCCACCAATCACCACGACGCTCTTGCCCTGAGCAGAGATGAATCGCCCATCCTCCAAGCCAGAGTCGAGCAAGCTCTTGGTGTTTTGCGTGAGGAATTCCATGGCAAAATGGATGCCGTTCGCTTCGCGGCCCTCGATGGGCAGGTCGCGAGGCCAGGTGGCACCAGTGGCGTACACCAGGGCATCGTTTTGCGCGCGCAGAGCAGCCGGGTCGACGTCCACACCGACGTTGCAGCCAGCGACGAATTGGACGCCCTCGTCAGCCATCAGCTTGATGCGGCGATCAACGACGCCCTTGTCCAGCTTCATGTTGGGAATGCCGTACATGAGCAGACCACCCAATCGGTCGGCGCGCTCATAGACGGTCACGCTGTGACCTGCCCGGTTAAGCTGGTCGGCGCAAGCCAGACCGGCCGGACCCGATCCGACGATTGCGACCGTCTTGCCGGTGCGGACCGCAGGTGGTTGAGGCTTGATCCAACCTTCGGCCCAGCCCTTGTCGATGATGGCAGCTTCGACGCTCTTGATGCCGACCGGTTGCTCTGTGATGCCGAGCACGCAAGCACCCTCGCAAGGAGCAGGGCAGACGCGACCGGTAAACTCGGGAAAGTTGTTGGTCATGAGCAGACGGTTCAGCGCATCCTTCCATTGACCCTTGAACACCAAGTCGTTCCACTTGGGGATCACGTTGGAGATGGGGCAGCCCGTGTCTGACTGGCAAAAGGGCACACCGCAGTCCATGCATCGCGCCGTCTGCTGCTTGAGCTCAGAGTCGGTGAGGCGCACAGAGAGCTCCTTGAAGTCCTTGACGCGCTTCGTAGGCGCACGGTACTGCTCGCCCAAACGCTTGTACTTCATAAAGCCTCGAAGCTTGTCGAGCTTGGGCACGCGCGCCTTGGCCGTCTCATCATCGATCATCGCATCCTCCACATCTCCCACTGCGGGCTCAGCAGGCTTTTCTTGCTGCCTGTTGAGTTCGGTGCGCTCCTCGCTGATCGAGACATCGACTTGCGATCCGTGGCGAGAGAGCGTGCCGAGCAAGTCGACGTGGCTGTTGCGCTTCTTCTCGGCAGCAGCCTTGGCAGCTTCCTCTTCCAAAACGCGCTTGTAGTCCAGAGGCATGACGCGCACGAAGCGGGGCAAGAGGTGGTGGAATTCGTGGATCACATGATCGGCAATGGTCGAGCCAGTGTAGTGACGGTGGTTCTCGATGAGGTTGCGCAGCTCAGCAATGTCGTGCGGGTCCTTGACAGGCCCAAGCTCGACCATTTCCGTGTTGCACTTGGGGGCAAAGTCACCGTACATGTCGAGCACATACGCCACACCACCGCTCATACCGGCGGCAAAGTTGCGACCGCAAGTGCCGAGAATGACGATGCGACCGCCCGTCATGTACTCGCAACCGTGGTCTCCGACACCTTCGACGACGGCGTGGGCGCCCGAGTTGCGTACGGCGAAACGCTCGGCCGCGATACCTCTAAAGTAGGCATTGCCGCTGGTCGCACCGTACAGGCAGACGTTGCCCACGATGATGTTCTCCTCTGCCTTGAACTGAGAATTCTTGGGTGGATAGACGATCAGACGTCCGCCGCTCATGCCCTTTCCGACATAGTCGTTGGCGTCACCTTCCAGTTCAAACGTGATACCAGGGGCGAGGAAAGCGCCGCATGACTGTCCAGCACTGCCCTTGGCGTTGATGTGGATGGTGTCGCGGGGCAGTCCTTCTTCTCCGTACAACTTTGACACGCGGTAGGACAGAGTAGCACCCAGCGCACGGTCGGTGTTGACGACGTCGCACTCGATCTGAACGGGCAGGCCTTGCGAAAGCGCCGGCTCGGCCTCGTCGATGAACTTGTTGTCGAGTCGCACGTACAGGCGGTGGTCTTGCTGGCGAACCTTGTAGGTCGCAGCACCAGGGCGCATCTTCCACGCAGGCTTGAGCAGCGGGCTGAGGTCGAGCTTGGCAGTCTTGACGGTGCGCAAGCTCTCATCGACCTTGAGCAAGTCCGAACGACCGACCATCTCGTTGACGGTGCGCAGACCAAGCTTTGCCATGATACCACGCAACTCTTCGACGAGCATGTAGAAAAAGTTGATGACGTGCTCGGGCATGCCTGCAAACTTGGCACGAAGCTCGGGGTCTTGCGTGGCGATACCGACGGGGCAGGTATTGACGTGGCACTTTCTCATCATGATGCAGCCCATGGCGATCAGAGCAGTGGTGGAGAAACCGCACTCCTCGGCACCGAGCAAAAAGGCCATGGCGACGTCTCGACCGGTACGCAGCTGACCGTCCGTCTGCACGGTGACACGGCCACGCAAGTCGTTCAGAACGAGCGTCTGGTGAGCTTCGGCAAGGCCAAGCTCCCAGGGCAGACCGGCATACTTGATGCCGGTCCAGCGCGATGCACCAGTACCACCGTCGTGGCCAGAGATGAGGATGTGGTCCGCCTTGGCCTTGGCCACACCGGATGCAACGATGCCGACGCCGACCTCGGACACCAGCTTGACGGAAATGCGCGCGCGAGGGTTGCTGCACTTGAGATCGTAGATGAGCTGCTTCAAGTCCTCGATGCTGTTGGTCACGAGTGATGGAGGAGTAAGCTTTTGAACAGGAGCGGCTGCTGCAACATTGCGCTCGCTACTCACGAGTAAATGTCGTGGTGAGGAGGCGGGCTGATCAGACCGACACCTGCAGTCGAGTGACGAGTGCGGGCAATCGACGCCGATACCTTGTGTCCTGGCAATTCACCACCCTCACCTGGCTTCGCACCCTGTGCCATCTTGATCTGCAGCTCGTCCGAGTCGGCCAGATAGTTGCTCGTCACACCAAATCGACCCGAAGCAATTTGCTTGATCTTGCTTCGAAGCGAATCGCCGTTGGGCAGAGGGATGGAGCGCTCCGCATCTTCACCGCCTTCTCCCGTGTTCGACTTGCCGCCCAGTCGGTTCATCGCAATGGCGAGCGCAGAATGCGCCTCCATGGAGATGGAACCGTAGGACATGGCGCCAGTAGCGAAACGCTGTACAATCTCTGTCCAAGGCTCAACCTGATCGATGGGAATGGGTCTCGACTTGGTAAAGTCAAAGTCGAGCAATCCTCGCAGGGCAGTAGCCTTGACGGCGTTGTGCGATGACTTGGAGTAGTTGTCCCACGCAGCCTGATTCTTCTCCCGAGCTGCCTCCTGCAGGTTTGCGATGCTGCTAGGATCATTGATGTGAGCCTCGCCACCGTCTCTCCAGTGATACTCTCCAGTCTCTGGCAGTCCGGGCACCGTGATGGTCTCGCGAGCGGGATAGCCGCGGTCGTGGAACTCGAGCGCATCCATGGCCAACAGAGCAAAGTCGGATCCTTGAATGCGGGAAGCAGTGCCGACGAAGCACCTATTGATGACGTCTTCTGCCAAACCCAGGGCCTCAAAGATCTGAGCACCCTTGTACGAAGCGAGGGTAGAGATACCCATCTTGGACATGACCTTGAGGATGCCCGAGTCGACGGCGTGTCGCCAATTGTCGAGCATTTTCTCCACGGGGAGGTCGACCTTGAGCAGACCTTCGCGTGCCACCTTCATGATGCTCTCTTGAGCGAGCCACGGGCAGATGGCGTCGGCGCCGTAACCAACAAGAACGCACATGTGGTGCACCTCGCGAGCCTCACCCGACTCCACGACGATGGCGACGCGGCTGCGTTCCTTGTTGCGGATCAAGTGATGGTGCAAGCCACCAGCGGCGATCAAGCTGCTGATAGCAACACGGTCCTTGTTGACAGCGCGGTCCGAGAGGACGAGCACGCGGACATCTTCGCGAATGGCTCGAGACGCCTCGGAGCAGATGCGGTCCAGCGCACTGCTGTACCCGTCGATGCCGTGACCCTTGTCAAAGGTGATGTCGAGGGTGCGCGACTTCCAGTCCTGGTGCGCAAGCTCGAGGCGCTTGAGGGCGTTGCACTCCTCGATGGTCAGGATGGGACTCTCGAGGTGCAGACGGTGGCACTGGTCGGCGCGCATCTCGAGGATGTTGCCTTCAGGACCGACGTACTGCTCGAGCGACATGACGACAGCCTCACGAATGGGGTCGATGGGAGGGTTGGTGACCTGAGCAAAGAGCTGCCTAAAGTAGTCGTAGATGAGACGAGGCGCCGTGGTCATGCATGCGAGCGGAGCGTCGTTGCCCATGGAACCCAGAGGCTCCTTGCCCTCGGCACCCATAGGAAGCATGAGCAGACTGATCTGTTCGGCCGTGTAGCCAAAGGCGAGAAGCTTTGGATCATTGGACAAGCTGGACTCGTCCAATTTGGCAGAGATGGAGTTGCGCGTGCAAGAGCGCACCGTGTCGACGATTTCGGGAAGCTGCAAGAGCTGCTGCTCGAGCCAGGCGCCAAAGTCGTTGCGCTGAGAAGTCGTCAGCTTGAGCTCCTTGTCATCAATGACGCGACCCTCGACAGTGTCGACGAGGAGCATCTTGCCTGGTTGCAACCTGCCCTTTTCGATGACGCGAGCTGGGTCGATGGTGACGGCACCGACTTCAGAGGCGCAAACCATGACGTCTTCATCGGTGATCAAGTATCGACAGGGACGCAAACCATTACGGTCAAGGTTGGCACCGCAGTACCGGCCATCAGCAAAGGTAAAGAGCGCAGGACCGTCCCACGGCTCCATGAGGCATGCGGCCCACTTGTAAAAGGCCACCTTGGCGGGGTCCATGTTGTCCTCGTTACCTTGCCAAGCCTCGGGAATCATCATCATGACTGCCTGTGGCAGCGTGACGACGTTGTTGATGACGAGCAATTCGAGGACATTGTCGAACGCAGCAGAGTCGGAACCGCCGGCCTCGACGATGGGACACAAGAGCTCCAACTCGTCTTTGAAGGTCTCGGAGCGCAGCTGTCCCTCTCGCGCGTGCATCCAGTTCTTGTTGCCTCGGATAGTGTTGATTTCACCTGCGGCATCCCTCGTGTCAGCAAATGTCGCTCTCAAATTTTCCACCCCCTCCGCCACTCACCATTGTGGGCTGCCCACCTCATAGGCTGGGCACGGTCCCAGGAGGGAAAGGTGTTGGTGGAGAAGCGAGAATGTACGAGAGCAAAGTGACTTGCGTACCAAACATTGTTGAGGTCATAGTAATAGTCGTACACCTGACGCGGGCTGAGCTGACCCTTGTAGATGATGTTGGTGTTGGAGAGGGAGCAGACGTAGAACCACTTGGGCAGACCGATGGCGTGCGTTGCGCTCTTGCGCAGCACGTACAACTGTCTAGCAAAGTACTGAGCGTCAAAGGGCGCCTTTGGATTCTCGCACGAGTTGCTCGAGCCGAAGTGATCGGCCAACACGACAAAGGGCTGAAGGATCTTGGGTTCCTTGCTTAGCGCCGCTGGACCAAGGATGGAGTTGTCCACGGGCACTTCGCGCCAACCGAGCACTCGCAGGTGCAAGTCGCGCGCGAGGTTTTCAAAGTGGGCAATGTGAGAAGCGCGCGCCTTGTCGTCGCGAGGGTCGAAGAAGAGGTTTCCGACGGCGTACTGGCCTTGCTCTGGCAGCTCGCAGCGCAGATCGGTGAGCACCTCTCTACGGAAGAATGCATCTGGGATGCCAGTCATGACACCAGCACCATCTCCATCCCTCGCATCTGCACCCGTAGCACCGCGGTGGGTCATGTTGCAGAGCAGAGGCTTGGCGTCCGAGACGATCTTGTGCGAAGGCTTGCCCTTGATCTGGCACATGAAGCCTACACCGCACGCATCCTTTTCGTTCTCTGGGTCATACAAACCTTGAGCTGCAGGCAGAGAGCCGGCCCAGGAGGTGGTGGCGCGCTCCACTTCGTCGTAGCCGTTTGCGTGCAGGTCGCTGGACGTCATCATCTCCTCATCCTCGCGCATGGCGGCCATCTCTGCCTGAAGCGCTGCGTTGCGCTCCTTGCGCGACAGCTGTGCGCCAGAGGTCGCCGAAAGAGAAGTAGTGACAGTCATGGTGGTGTGTCGTTCGGCGCGCAGGCGCCCAACGAGGTCGAAAGAGGGGAGCGAAGAGAGAAGCGCTGTCGAAGCGCTGAAGGAGGAAAAAGTCTAGACCGAAGCGAGCGTATGTGCTGCGAGAAAAAAAAAACAATTCAAATCGGAGCAACTGTATGCGCTGCGAGGACGATGAGAACCAATGGGTATGAGGGAAGAAGAGAAAAGAAAGAGGTCTATTGTGATGCGCAGGTGGTTGCGATATGAGGAGGCGTTGGGTGCCTGCCTGCTTGCTTGCTTGCTTGCTTTTGAATGGACCGCCAAAGAGTGAGCGGCTTGCGTTTTCGTATTCGAGTGTGATCTACCGTTTAGCGATGACTGATGGACGAGGGTCGAGTGACAGCAGGTGCGTGAGAGGGACCGACGAGATGGGCTGACTGGTCTGGGGGAAGAAGGAAAGGGAAATAAATCTCTTTGCACTTTTGCGGCCAAGAAATTATACCTCCCTCGCCCTGCCCCTCCCCCTCCCTCGCCCTCGCCCACCAACTTTTTCCTCTTTTCGAGCTTGGGCTGCACGCACGCGCGCACGCGCACGGGCAGCCATGTTTAGGCGAGCTAGGCGTGCCTTGCAAAAGCGGACTACGCGATTGAATGCCACACCGCTCGCTGTGCTGTATGCGCTTTCTCTGGTTGGCTGAAGGGGGCCTCGATGCGCGCGCGCGCGGCCATGGCAGCAGCAGCAGTCTCACGACGAGTCATGAGTCTTCGCCGCGCCCGCGTGGGCTTGTGGCGAGCCTATTGCATGCCTAGCCTTGTGTCTGACTAAGATGAGCGCAGGCAAAGCGGCACGGAATGCATTCACATTGCATGACTGGCAAGGCACACACACTCACACCTTCCTTCGCTCGCTCGCTCGAGTGACTCACCAAATTTCGGCCTTCCAATCCTAGCTAGTCTCAAACAGGTCCGGCACCTTGGCCCAGAACTTTGGCGGTGCCTGTGTGCGCTCAGTGCAGCAGCTGCGCACTCGCCCTGTGCATCTCCTATGCATAGCCCATACATAACCCAAATCAGACAAGGCGGCCAGCCGCCAGTCTGAGCCAAAAATGTCATTCGTGATTCACGATTCCGATTTCACGGATTTGGCCGCGCAAAACCGAAGCCGAAGAAGCGCAAGCAGGCGCACCTTGGATCTGGCCGGGTTGCCGCTGCTCTAGATCTGCATGCCGCTCATCAGGCGCTGCATGGGGTTTGGTCATCTGAGCGTTAGATATGCATCTACGACCTTCCGCACGCATGCGTGCGCGTGATGCGTGTCGGTCGAGCGCATGCATGTGTGCATGCAGCATCCCCATCAGCTGCGCGCGTATGGAGCAGCACATATTCTTTCCGCTTTTGCCCGTGCTGCAAATCGCGCACACGTCAGCCACGCCCGCATTAAGCTCTCCACAAGCCACTTTTCGTTGATCACGGCGCGGGAGGTGCGTTGCGGGTATAGGTGTGCTGCTCCCTAAATGCCAGGATGCAGCTTATTCTTCTGGCGACCTTTGCGGTGCTTAGCTGGTCCATGCGCCTCGCTTCCCTCGTATGCGCAACTATTTGTCAGCCCTCCTCGTCTTTCCTCAACATTCCGATGCCTGACCACGTGGCTTGCAAGACACACACATCGCGATCATATCACGTGTGAGTCTGCAAGTCCTTGCTCATCCAGCCCAAGGAAGAGCTATACATTCATTGCCTGAAACATCTACACATTGCCCATCCCTTGACTACCGCATACGCGTGTTCATCAATCCCAAGGCAGCATCTTAGCAATGATGATCAAAGCCGAGTTGCAGACTGACTCGAAAATAGAACGCTATGCATTCACGCGAGATACGGCGTCCAAACAGTCGTGAGTGGAGTTTCGTGGTATAAATTGACGCAACGGTGAAGAAGGAGGAGGAGGAGGATGGGTATGGGTCAATGGGCAGGGGACAGAAAACTGGCGTGCGCTACGGTCGCTCGCGCACATGAGCATCAGAGGCTTGCGAGTCCTGTGCGGTTCGCGTCGGCTCCTCGCTGACGATGGCGGGTGCCACAGAAGTGGAGTGTGTCATCGGCTGACTCGGGTAAGGCGGAGCGGGAGAAGTAGGAGTGGAAGGAGATGTCGAGGTCTCATCACCATGTTCAGTATATCCAGTAGAAGCTTGTCCATCCGCACCGAGCACGTAGCTCGAAGCGCTCCCCCTACCCTTCTGCCTCCTCTTTTCCTTCCTATCCAACCTCTTTTGAACCTTTTCTTCTCTTCTCTCTTCTCGACGATGAGATTTGACTTCTTGCTTCTTCTCGTATCGGCGCTCTTTGCGCTCCTTGGCTGCTTTGCGAGCTTCGTGCTTTGATGGACGCGATGATTCCCCCGCAGCTTGTGCTACGTTGTTGCTGGCAGTCGAAGCGGATGGATGGGAAAGGGTCGGCGTTGGAGCGACCGTTTCAACAGGGGCAGACACGGGAGCGGTAGTCGCGACAGTGTGTTGCGTCAGCACGGGCACCGGCATCGTAGGCCAGATGGAAGAGGCGGCAGTGGTCGTCGGGTTGGAGTCCAAAGGGATAGCGTAAGGCGCAGAAGTCGTCGTAGATGATACCGGTGTGTCAGCAATGGACATGGCAGGAGCATTGATCGCGTCAGCCGATCCGGCCCTTCCCCTGCTGCTGCGTCTTCTCTCGATCTTCTCACGTTGCGCTTCACGTGCCGCTGCCTTTTTGTCTTCGTGCTTGGCCTTGGAAGCTTCTCTTCGAGCGCTCCTTTTCTCTGCCAGATGAGCCCTTTTGGAAGCTCTCGCCTCGGCCTTTGCATCCAGCCTGGACTCGCGCCTCTCGTCCTTGGCTGCTCTTCGAGCGGCTTGATGCTCTGCTTTCTGAGAGCGATACTGCCATCGCGCTGCAGATGCTTCGTGAGATGCGCTGGAAGCACGACGCGGATGAAGAGTTTAGCGAGGCGAATCAGAAAAATCTCCGGAGGCGAGCACAGGGAGCGCATACACTCACCTCCTTTCCTTGGCTTTGGCAGCCTCTGCGCTCTCCACGTCGTTGAAGCAGGAGCAGGTCAAATTGCAACACAAGGCTCCTTTCCTCGCCAAGCTGAGACACAGCAGTCCGCCCAGAGCCTTGTTCAGCTTGGTCAGCTTGAACATCGACTTGCTCTTGCTCGGAGCTTTCTCCTGTGCGCGAGCGGATTGACTACCGCCAAAGAATGGAAGCGACATCTTGATGCGCTGGTAGTGCGAGCTGGAAGAGGGCCCCGGAGTGTCTTGACGGTACTCGTGAGAGCGAGCGAGCGAGATGGAAATGTGGCCTACCTTGATGTCTTAATAACAGACTCGCTCAGCATGCAAGGCCCAAGAGCTGTCTGCTGAGCGAGGCTTATACCCATTCACATTCGTAATGTGCGCACGTACCTTTCGCCGGCTTCGCGTTGATCGCTGCATGGACTCTGCGACTGGGTGACTGGGTGAGTGATGACGCTCACATCACATCACATCACATTCGCAACCTCACTTGCAACGCTAGCTCGATTCAGCTGAGCCAGCAGATGACACCTTAGCGCTCAGCAGTCGACAAAGTTTCCACGGTCAAAGCCCAAATTTCCAGCCAAATTGTGGGGTCGGAAGCCGGAACGTGAAAGCTGCTCTTTTGAGGTTCACGCGATGTGGAGCAATCAAGGGCGATGCATTAGATGAATTCGAGAACATTGTGTGTGCGTTTCAACCATATGAACCGACTCACGACTCACGACTGCTGCTGCCTGCATCGCCCAACCGCACGCACGCATCACCGCCACGAGCTCAAAAAGTTGGTGCTCATGTCGCGCACAAGCGTCTGCGTCTGCGTCTGCGTCTGCGTTTGCGTTTGCGTTTGCGTTTGCGTCTGCGTTTGCGTTTGCGTTTGCGCCCTTCTGCAGCGGCCGTACCATCACACACTGGCGCGCGAGAAGCCGTGCGCTCAGGCCTCTTTGTTCTTTCTGGCCTTGATCTCATCACCGTGACACTCGTGACTGCAAACCTGTTCATCGCCCATCACTCAAACTGCATGAGCTTCACTCGAACGTGCGGCTGCCCCACTCTCAACCACACAACCACACCTCCGCCTTTGGCTTCAATGTCGTGCATCTAGACCACAGCGACCAAGCATCATCCAAGTGGCAGCTGCAACGGCATCATGTCTCTCGGCAATGCGCACACCGAATCAGCAACGATGAGCCGGCCAGGCTCGGATCCCCTACGACCGCACTGTGATCTGCGATTGCCCTCATCTCGTCACAGCAACAGCGCTGGACTTGCCGCTGGTCTTGGCCGTGCACCAGAGTTGGAAGAAAGCGCTGCTTTGTTGATCGCAAGCTTGCACCGAGCTGCAGAAGTTGCACGATTTCAATGGCGCACACAGCAAGCCGCTGCTGCTGCTGCCGCTGCTGCTGCTGTGAGCACCACCCACGCGAGAATTGTCGCAGGTCGCTACCATCCCATAGGCTCTAGCATCCAACGTGCGACACGACCATCCAGCGATCAGTATGCTCTACTGCCTGCCGCTGCCTCTCGCTCTCTCAGAGCAGCTCAGGGTGGCGACCGTGCGGATCTGCTCAATGCTGCTGCAGCTAGCCGCTCGGCACGACGTACAGACTGGCTGACGGATTCTGATGATGAGACGAGCGAAGATAGTTGGGATGACGATCAGGAAGATCCATCGAGTGCTGCCATCATACGTGCCACTCTAAATTCGGCCAACAGATCGGAGAACAGGCCAGACATCCCACCAGCTCCCTTGCACGACCAGCCGACGTCAGATCCTGGCGCCGCTTCTTCTTCCTCGACGTACCGCGCCCTGTCCGGCTTTCCGACGGATGAGACGGAAGCTCAGATATGGGACAGAATGGTCGAGGAGTTGGCGCGCACTTCATCCTACCCGCCATCCAACTCCAGCATTGCAGCAGGAGGCATCACTTCTGGCCGCACCGCATTTTCTCAAAGGCAGCTTCCACATCCGGTATGGGCTAGGCGATATCCCGGTGCGCCCGGCACCTGGCTGAGAGCCGAACTAGCAAGACGATCAGCCAGCACTCGCGAACGGGAGCGCAATCCTGCAGATTCTTCCACTGATATCAGGCCCTGGGACGCGCTTCTGCGTCGCTCCCAAGAGCCCGAGCCCGAGGCCGAGGTCGAGGCCGAACGCGCATCTTCGCAAGACGCCCATGGAACCGTGCGCATCCATGCTGGTCCTGAAGCTGAAAGGTCGCCTCCAAGCTACAACATCCGCACCACCACTGTTGGCGCTCTCTTGGACGCACAAAGCGCGGAAACGGTGTCGCGGATGGAACCTAGCTGGCAACGGTGGGCCCGCACCGTCTCGACTCAACGACCGACCGCTCAAGACAGTAACGCCTTGCTACGAGTAGCCAGAACACCTCCAGAGGAAAGACCCTCCACTCGTGACAGCGACGTTTCTCGGAGAACATCTGTCAATGAAGAAACGAGACGAGTCGCAGCTGCGACTGAACGTGTAGCCCGGCTCGCTGAAGTGCAGAGACAGCGCCGAGAACAGCGCAACGTTGCGCTTGCTGAAGCTCGAGCAGCGGGCACGCTTTCGACGGAGGATCACGGAGCAAGAGAACGTAGCCGCGCCTCTCGCGGCGGGCTGGCTTATCTGCAGAGACTGCGCGAACTGGATGGACTCAGCCCTTCGCACGACTCTTCTGACGCAGAAGCTCCTGACACGGCGCCAGAAGCTCGACCTCACGACATCTTTCCGTGGTACGATCCGCCAACTCGTGGCGGCCCAGTAGTGCGAAGCGCAACTTCGGTAAACTGGTTCGAAGCGGCGCGAGAGAGGCGTGAAGCACAGAATCGAGCGGCAGAGGAGGAGTTGGCTGCAGCAAACGCAGCGCGCGAACGATATCCCGGTGTGCCAGCTGATCTTTGGGCCGAAGAAGCGCAAGAACAAGAGCCCGGTCTCGATGATGCGCAAGTCCAGCCTAGGGTGCGCCCGCAACGAACGGGTGCCGAGCAGCGTCATCGCAACCGTACCGCTACTGTAGTGGCCTCTCCTCCTCCTCTAGTGGACAGCGGAATTGGTGAAGCTGCGCGCACGATGCGCACTGTAGGCAATGGATGGACCCTAGTTGGTGAGTGTGCAACATCCAAAACAGGTTTCAGATGTGAGCACGCGTTGACGAGTGGTCGCGTCGCAGGTCCACCGACTACCTCGGAAGCGGAGGAGGCACCATCGACGAATAGGTCAGCGTCGCACACCACTTGGCTCACTGGCCCCGCTCAGCCCTCGCGCCGCCTCAGCGCCTCTCCTCTGCCGCTTGAACTTCCGCTCTCTCCTCCCGTCCTTGCCAGCGCGACGGCAATCTCTCAGCCAGGCTCTCAGCGACCAGCCTCTCCAAACGCACCGGCCAGCGACCCACGTCTTCTTAGGCGTCCCCGTCGCCTGCCAAGTCTGACGACAGCCGAGGTCGAGGCTTCGGGCGTTCGCAGCGGCACTGCTTCACCCACTGACGACGCTCCTGCACGACCGATGCCTTCCTTTGGCACGCCGGCGAGGAGAGCAGAGTACTTGGGTATGGGCAGCTGGCGAAGATCTACGAGCCCTGGTGTACAGGTCGTTGACGGTGATCTCGGCCGAGCTGAAGGTGGTAGCTGGAGCAACTCTGCAGCTGCTGCTGATTTTGAACGTCGGACGCGCGAAAGCGCCTCTGAGCAAGACACTTCCCCAGCACCCTCGCCAAACTCGACCGCAGATGCTGCAGAGGAGGCTGCAAGCGTCGGCGCTCTTACGCGACTCACTGGCGCAACGTTGGACAGCATCGAAGGACAAAACACGCCACAGCTTCGTCCACCGCCTAGCGGCGCGCGAGGCGAAGCATTGACGGAGCGTGCACGAGCTGCATTGGCGCAGAGTCGACGCTTGCACGACGTTGGCCAGCGCCTCACGCAAGAGCTCTTGAGCCGCGAAGCTTCGCTTCGACACCGAGAGGAACACTTGCGTGCAGAGATTGCTCGGCGCAGAAACGCGAGTGACGAGCAACGCCGACGTGAAGGTCGCATCGGTCGCGTCCTCGCATCTGACGAACCTAGCGCCGTCGGCCCGGTCGAGCGCGAAGGGGCAACTTTGCTCGTACGAAGACGTACGATTCGCGACTCTGCGCCGGGTCTGCGGCCTTATCAGCGCCAGGATCCTCGTCGTACTCTGAGCACGCATGACACCTCTTTGGACCTCGCTACGCCAACGGCCGAGCCACCCACCAGCTCCTCGAGAGTCGGCGCCCCTCAAAGCCAGGTCGATCAAGAAGACAAGATGTACGAGGGTGGAAATGCCAACGAGGAGCGCGCTACAGCTGAAACATCCGATGCAGCTTTACCAGACTCGTCGCATTCAGCGTCTCCTTCGATGGCGAGCACTAGCCGATTAGAGTCGAGCACAATTTCCCCCTCGATCTCGCTTGGATCGTCATCGCTCGTTCACGCGCAAGACGTCTCTGCGATGCCGGCCTCGGCAGTGGGTCTTTTGCAGACAGTCGATGAGGTTTCGCGCTCGCAGTACATTGCGGCGACTTATGCAAGGCTACGCATGTGGGAACGTCGCGTGCCGACTCAGCCCGCGCTACCTTCGACCGAAGGCAGCGAGCTCTATCCACTTCGCTTTGAGCTGTTTGCCATTTCAAACACTGCGCCAGAGAGCACGTCCGAAGACAATTCTATCCTGCGCGCCCACTCTCGCAACCTGCTCTGGAATGACGACACTGCCGTCACTTTTCCGCGCTCGAGGAATGTAGACATTGGCCTGCGCTTCCTGGCCTGCGTGCCAAGCGCGTCTGGTTCGCGGCCGGCAGGCGATGTAGCTGTGTCCGAAGCTATTCGAGCTGAGCGCGACCTCACCGCACCTCTGCTGCAGCGGGATGGCGAGCCAGGGCGCTCGACGTCGGTCAGCGCCTCGAACGTTGCGTCCGCATCTCGTCCTGCGGCGCCCGACCTGCTCAGCGACTTTCTGACGGGCTCATCGCCGCGCCACAGACATCACCTCACCACTCGTCAGATCAACCTGCTTTCCCGTCTAGTAGCGGCCCGAAGCGCTGGATCGCGAGAGGATCGGCTAGCAGCGATCTCCTCATTGACTTCGGATGAAGTGGCAGACCTTCGAAGACTATTCTCGTCCTCGACATTGGAAGAATTGCGCACTCGCGTTCAAGCCACGCGCGAGGAGCGATCTGGATCACGCCACGCCCTCATGCACAGCGCTCGGGACTCTGACCACCGATCCGCACTGCATCGCGTCGCACGAGAGGCGATCAACAGAGCTTCTCACGCCGGCGGTGTACAGCTTACGTCGGCTCAACGCGCTCTGATCGAGCAAGTTGCAGGAGCATCGTCCACGCCGCCGCGCTCGGCCGAGCAGCTCCCTTCGGACGCGTTGCAAGATCTGGCTCCCCTGATTGCCAGCCGTGCGCGATCCATAGCTCAACATGCTGTTCGACATGTTGGAGAAGGATCCGTGCTGGCCCAGACACCTGTGTGCACGCTTTCGCGTCTCATCATCAAAGTTCCACGCCGAGCTGGACGATCGGCGGCCAAGGAAGGACTGGTTTTCGTTAGCCACCGACCCATCACTACCGCCATGCTGGAGCGCTGGAACAATTGCACGCAGACTGAGCTCGAAGCTGCTGCGCAACGAGAGGGATTCTGCTTTGCCAGCAACGTCGCGGACGAAAGCACGGGCAGACGAAACGCGAGCCCGATTAGCACATCGTCTGCGAGACGCAGTACACCCAACACGCGCGACAGGTGGGACGACGATCCGGAGCTGGGAGTTCCTCTGGCTTTCCAGCTAGACAATGCTATGCAACCTCCGACGGCCACTGAGCCCGCCTTGCTCAGGGATCGAACAACGCTTCATCCCGTCGGCTTCTTTCGCATCCCGACCTCGGCGACTGCAACGCTGGATTTCTCCGCAATGGCGCAGCACGTCGTGAGGTCCGACACCAGGCACCAACACGGCGCCGCGAGCGGCGCGGTCGAGATGAGCAGCGGTGTTTCTGGGAGCTACATTGCAATCAAGATTTTGAACACGCACGAGAGCGACCTGCCCTCGTCTGCACGCAGACGGCAAGATGCTGCTGGTAGCGCTCAACCATCCACTTGCGCCGTCCAGTGGATCGGAGCTCATGGTGTTGCTGGAGTGCGCAGCAGCGCAACGGGAGCTTGGTTCGATTGATTTGAAGGCCTTTTAGTAGATAGGAGACACGACACCCTTGCTTCGCACATTCGACCCTCGCATTCCACTCACCTTCATGTCACCCCTTTTTTTGTTTTGGTCGGGCATGCGCGTTTCATACGCCTTTTTCGCAATTTCATGGTCATCAACGAGCTCAGTCACGTTCGCCATGCTTTGGGCGTGCCAATGCCGGCGTTGGCTTTCGGCCCCCGATCTTTGACTGATGACGCTCGGACACCCGCGTACAGAGTGGTGATGCGCGTTTGTTTGCGTTTTGAACGAGCGACATTCTGAATCACGTGATCGCTAGGCGTGCGCCGCGGATCAACCAAAGCTTCTCGACTGTTCTACGCGCTGCTAGACCGCTCTGGCGCCTTCGAGGACGCGCGAGTGAGATGTTGGGCGCCCGCGCGCCGCCAATAACAGACTTTTCGCGAGAGAGTCGCGGCTGCATGCATGCATGGTGCCATGGCCGCGTACAGCAGAAGCCGGGCAAAGTCCTCCACTTGCGCGGTGATTGGTGCATGCTGGACGTTTGCTGGCTTCGCGTCCCGCGCGTGTGTGATTAGAAAGATGATGGGCAATTTGTTATGCGCGAATACAACAATGCAAAGCTTCCACGGCCATCCTCGTTCTTCTCGAAATTTTGCGTCACCAAAAGGGCTCGGACCACGTTTGCGCCCAGCCAAGGTCGCAACAGACGCTTCGTTTCGTACAAGAAGCAATGTTGTGCACATGAATCAGGAATGCATCTTTCTTCACACCAAATACCACCACATCACAACCGTGATATACGCATTACGTACACACACACGCAACTCGACAATTACTTGTCCCGAATCAGCTAGACTGCAATCACAGCACACAATCTCAATTTCAGCGCATACAATCTATTCACCATGACCAAGGCAGTTGGTGAGTTCATGCGTTCCAGATAAAGCCGCCAATGTACTCGTTGATTGACATTGCCTCCCTCTTCTGGCCGCCCAGGAATCGATCTCGGCACAACCTACTCTTGCGTTGCTGTCTGGCAAAATGACCGAGTGGAGGTCATTGCCAATGACCAGGGTAACCGCACCACTCCCTCATACGTTGCTTTCACAGACTCGGAGCGATTGATCGGAGATGCTGCCAAGAACCAAGTCGCAATGAACCCTCACAACACTGGTGAGCACCGATAGCACTCTGATTCAGTCTCGATGAGCCCCGTGCTTACGCTCGCCTCTTCGTTTTGCAGTGTTCGACGCCAAGCGATTGATTGGACGCAAATTCGACGACGCAGAAGTGCAAGCAGATGCCAAGCACTGGCCATTCACTCTCGGCAACAATGGTGGCAAGCCCGTCATCAAGGTCGAGTACAAGGGCGAGGAGAAGACTTTTACGCCAGAGGAGATCTCATCCATGGTCTTGCTCAAGATGCGCGAGACTGCAGAGGCCTACCTTGGTGGCACAGTCAAGGACGCCGTCGTGACTGTACCTGCATACTTTAACGACTCACAACGTCAGGCTACCAAGGACGCTGGTATCATTTCTGGTCTCAACGTGCTCCGCATCATCAACGAGCCCACCGCAGCTGCCATTGCATACGGCCTCGACAAGAAGTCTGAGGGCGAGAAGAACGTTCTGATTTTCGATTTGGGAGGTGGTACATTCGACGTGTCCCTCTTGACTATCGAGGAGGGTATCTTCGAGGTCAAGGCCACCGCTGGTGACACTCACCTTGGTGGCGAAGACTTTGACAACCGGTTGGTCAACCACTTTGTCCAAGAATTCAAGAGAAAGAACAAGAAAGACCTCACCTCCAACGCTCGCGCTCTTCGTCGTCTGCGAACTGCTTGCGAGCGTGCGAAGCGTACCCTGTCTTCTGCAGCTCAGACCACCATCGAGATCGACTCGTTGTTTGAGGGCATCGACTTTTACACCTCCATCACTCGTGCTCGTTTCGAGGAGCTCTGCGGCGACCTCTTCTCTCACACCATCGAGCCCGTCGAAAAGGTCCTGCGCGACTCAAAGATTGACAAGTCGAGCGTTCACGAGATCGTCCTCGTCGGCGGTTCCACGCGTATCCCTCGTGTACAGAAGCTGCTCCGAGACTTTTTCAACGGTCGCGAGCCTAACAAGAGCATCAATCCCGACGAGGCCGTCGCCTACGGTGCGGCCGTGCAGGCAGCCATTCTCAGCGGTGACACATCCGAAAAGACTCAAGATCTCTTGCTGCTCGACGTTGCGCCTCTGAGCATGGGTATCGAAACCGCCGGTGGTGTCTTCACTGCTCTCATCAAGCGCAACACCACCGTTCCCACCAAGAAGAGCGAAATCTTCTCCACCTACGCCGACAACCAGCCTGGTGTGCTGATCCAAGTCTTCGAGGGTGAACGTGCTCGCACGAAGGACAACAACCTGCTGGGCAAGTTTGAGCTCACCGGCATTCCTCCCGCTCCTCGCGGTGTTCCTCAAATCGAGGTCACCTTCGACTTGGATGCCAACTCCATCCTGAACGTGTCTGCCTCGGACAAGACTTCCGGCAAGTCTGAGCGCATTGCCATCACCAACGACAAGGGCCGTCTCAGCAAGGAGGAGATCGACGCCATGGTGGCCAACGCTGAAAAGTACAAGGCAGAGGATGAGGAGGCAGCAGCGAGAATCAGCGCCAAGAACGGCTTGGAGTCTTACGCCTACTCGCTCAAAAACTCTCTCAACGAGGAAGGCTTCAAGTCCAAGCTCTCTTCCGAAGAGGTGGAGAAGCTCAACGGTGCCATCAGCGAGACCATCTCCTGGCTCGATGGCGCTCAAGAGGCGAGCAAGTCAGAGTACGAGGAGCAGCAAAAGACGCTCGAGGGTGTGGCGATGCCTATCGTCACCAAGGCTGCTCAAGCCGGCGGCGCACCTCCTGGCGCTGGCGGACCCGGCGGCTTCCCAGGTGCTGGCGGCGCACCAGGTGGCGGTGCCGCCCCTCCCTCTGACGACCTCGAGGTCGACTAAGTGCGGGGGCAATCTGTTGTACCTGCAGTCTTCTCTTTCTCTTTCTCCTCCCTTTTTCGCACGAGTCTCTTATAGTTTGACGAGCCGTGATGCGCCGTGATGTGTCTCTTTGTTTGTCTCCACACACGACACGCCTTCTGCACACGAAGCAACCTTTTGTATCGAGTCACGTTCCTTAGACTTTTTCCACACGCACATCCAAAAAGACGAGACCATAGCTTTGCGCAAAAGAAATGACATTCTGTGAAAAGAAGGATGTTTGCCCGCGTGTCTATGAGATGGTGATGACGTTGCCGCATTCATGGGGTACACTTGAATGCGCTTCCGGTTCGAGAGCGGGCGCGGGAAGTAAAGAAAGATGACCGCGAGTGCGGGCGGGCGTGTGATGGTTGAGGCACGTGCTGTAGTCACGCGGCACTGCATACACGCGCCCGCCCGCCTGCGGTCCAGGCTTCAGCTTGACCATCCTGGCGTCCTGACGTTGATGACTATGACCTGATTCACGATTGGTACCTTGTGTATGTGTATGCGGTGCAGAGGTTCGCTTGCGATGCAGCGTCACGGAGCTGCCGAGTACCTTCATTTCGGAAAGACTCAAGATTGCTCTTGACCCGACCCTCGACCCCGGTCCGGCCCTTGCAACCACGATGCGCGGATGGGAGGGCGAGGTGAAGCAGCACATTCATTGATCTCGAGGAGCGCGAAGTGGGGCACGCGTTCGACGAAGCCGCCTTTGCTGGGGGGGGATGTGAGCATGAAGCGGCTGGCTGCTTCGTCGATGCGCAAGGATGGCTTGCAAATGTAATGCAAGCGCAAGCGGGACCCCTGATCTCACTTGGCACGCAAATTTGGCTTCGCCTTCACCGGTCCGTCGGAAAGCGGCACGCAGAGATGAGACGGCGGTGCATTCATCCGGTCAGGC